CTTTACATGTCGGTACGTGCCGAAAATTTGAAGACAATTGCTTTGAGAAATGAAAGTCTGTTAACTTCTCCATTCTGGTATTTTCTGAATTGCTCCATCAAATAATCGGTTTTCTCTTTTTCACTCCTACGCATTACTGCTGGTGTATCAAGCCCTCTTAGTTCGATGTATGTGGTTGTCTGGAATTTTAGAATAGTGTCAAGATACACAAAAATACATGGATGTGCAGAATAAAATTGCTCCTTGTAGTGAGCATGAAATGATTCCTGGCCGTTTGTAGTACGCCTGGATTCTGCCGATGGTAGTGATGCCCAAAGACTTGGAGGGGGGGGGGGATAGGGACTCTGTTGAAATGGAAGTTTCGACTAGATAATCTGCAAACTTCACATTACGCTGATCATTTGGAACATCTTCAAACATTTCCTCTGCAAAACAATCACCAACTTTTGTAGGATTAAGAAATGCCAAACCTATGAATTTCGTCAATCGCAATCAAATTTTGCATTCTTTGTTCTTATATTCAACACCTAGCCCAAGTTTCTGAATTTTGCGCCACCAACTTTGACCTGAATGAAAACGACAGCATTCTATTCTTGTATCTGGAAATACAGACCTAAATGCATTGTGCAATGCGATTTCAAAATCAATATGAATGATCCTTGGTTTAAACATAATGTTTCTGTCTGTACACAACGAAGATATCATGTTGAGCAGAACAGTGTAAATTTCCTCTGGTTTAGATGGTAAGAGAACAAATACTAGTGGTACATAATGTCCCAGTTTAAATCCATGAAAAGTGTACAGTTGTTCAAAATATTTTAGACAGTATTTAAAAGTTCCGTCTATGAAAAGTTCTGAAGCTTTTGTGCATAATGCCTCACGATTAGAATTGCATGATAGAATAACAATGCCATGCTGTTTGCTGTTTATTAGACAAAATGATTCCTTTGTGTTGGTTTGCAATTATAAGACATCCATGGTGTTGTGAACGTCATCTCTTGACTTTGGTAGAGTTGGGTATTCCTTGCGCCTTTCTCGGTATATTACCATTGTCAAACTTTTCAGGTCTTTCTCAATAAGTGTTTCTTCTTCTATATTCATTAATTCACAACGGACTCATTACATAGGTCTAGCAGTTCTTCTGTCGCTTTTTTCTTTACCACTACGCGGATAATCTGCCTCACAAGTTTTCTAGCATCGGACCCGTGGTTGTTTATGTTCATAGTTACCATTTAGAATTGCTGTTGAATGTTCGTCGGTTTTTATTCTGCCTTTGCAATCATTAACAGTGCATCGCAAAGAAATATCCCCTGACTTCAGTGTTCTATCAATACGGAAAGTAAATCCATCGCATACTAATGATTTTTACAAACTAACTTAAATTATTTACTAATTTAAAAGCGATCACTATTCGGTGAAACACTATTCACTCTGAAATATTCGCAATGAAGTTACATGTATGCATTAAGCTAAAACGTGATTTATCATGATCACTTTATATTTTGTTTTAGAATTCAATATGAAAAATATATAATTTGAATTAACAAATATTTTCGAAATTAATAATTTATAGTCATATTTATTATAGAAATTAACAATTTATAGTCATATTTCTAGTTCTATATTATTTATCTTTATATATACCTTTATTTTTACCTGAGTTTACCTGTAAAATAAATGCGCGCAAATGTAATCAAAAGCTGTGCGCAAACGTAAAAAAAATAATCCCCAAATGCGCGCAAACGTTAAAAAAAATAATCCCCAAATGCGCGCAATCGTTAAAAAAAATAATCCCCAAATGCGCGCAAACGTAATGCGCCCTACAAGATTTGCAAAACCCGTCTGTCACTTTCAATCTATAATACCACTTGAATATCACTATAGTACCAGTTTAAAAGCTTTCAATCGACTATGCTACTTGGAATCGATTTCTTTTCAAAAGAAAAAAAGGTAATTGTAGTAGTCCATGGATACTCAAAGCTCATAAACCAGACAAATTTAGACTAATCTGTTAACGCTTTTATATTGGCACCATTTCTTTTAATAGAGCTAACATTGCTTGTGATCTTTCACATATTTAGGACATTTAAGTTAAAAATGCGTTTAATCCTAAATTTCATTTTCCAAAAGTGTACATTGTTCTATTAGTTTCTTATTTACACATTTTATATTATATAATTTTTACATAAAATAAAGAAAAATATACCATTAACTGAAAAGTAGCTGAATATGTTTGTATTTTTTGGAGAAACCCAAAATCTCACTGCAATTCACTAAAAATGAGCTTCAAAAATAATTTATTAGTTGTAAATGGGTTTGAACTCGCTCTCAGTATCAAATGGTACTCTTAGATCGGTACTTTGTGTCTTTAGTCTTTCGGATAGTTTAATTTATTCTTTGTGACGATCTGATGAATCAAACCTTTTTAACTGATTTTTACAGTTTGTTTTTATGATGTGCTGTTAGATAACTGTCCCAGATTAAGTGTGTTTAAACTCTCGCAAATATGTTTATATATCCCCGCCACATTTTGTAGGTTTCTATTCTAAATCGATGTCTTCCCGATTGTCCCACTTTTTAAAATTACAGGTAAAAAAGTAATGAAATTTTGTGGGAAAATCGGGAATATGTTTGTGGGACAATTGGGAAGTTTAAATGTGGGACAATTGGGAATTGTTTTGATAGTGATTATTTTGTTTTTATAGTGTGCAGCAGTTACTAATCACTGTAACTTATAGAATATGAAAAAAACCATGAACAAATAATAATACTTACATATTATATTTTGCACATACATGTAGTAGGTACAATTGAAGTATCATCAAACATGGAATATAATATGAAGTCATAAAATTTTAGTCTTAGATGCATGATTTTTTTAATTAGTTTTTATTGGCTTTGAACTAGCTGTCAGTAACTGCGAGTACTCTAAGATCTGTACTTAGTGTCTTTGTTGTGGGGATGTATAAGTAGCCGTCCACGTCCATGTCCACTCTGTGATTTGTTAGATGTATTTCTGTCTGTACCCATCTGATGAGTTAAGCCTTTTTCAACTTATTTTTTTTAGTTTATTCTTATGTTGTACTGTTACAACACTGTCCCAGGTTAGTGGTAGGATTGGCGCCTTCAAAAAAGTTTAACCCCGCCACGTTCTGTATGTGTCTGTCCCAAGTCAGGAGCCTGTAATTCAGTGATTGTCGTTTGTTACTGTGTAACACATTTGTTTTTCGTTCATTATTTTGTACATAAATTAGGTCGTTAGTTTTTCTAGTTTGAATTGTTTTACATTTTTCATATGGGGCATTTAAAGCTGACTCTGCTGTATGGGCTTTGCTCATTGTTGAAGGCCGTATTGTGACCTATAGTTGTTAATTTCTGTGTCATTTAGTCTTTTATGGAGAGTTGTCTCATTGGCAATCATACCACATCTTTTTTTTATGGAAGTCTGGTTCTTCTTTATAGTTGGTGACGAGTCCTGTTGACTGCACTTTATGGCAAAGACACTGGGAATATTGGAAAACAACCTTTAATATTGATTCATGGAAAGGCTGATCTGGCAGAATTCTAGACAACAGCTTCGTTATCGAAAAAAGGAAGTTGTTGGGTTCAGGTGAATCTGACGTTGGGTGTTAGCAGTCTTCAATAGTGTAGAGAATGTTGTATTAATGTCCTCTGACTTCCCTAGTAAATTGTAAAGACTTGTGGAAAAATCTCTCCATCAACAAGTTCGTCTAGAGTGTAGAATGTAAATGAGTCTATACCTTTTTTTTAAATTGAATGCATTATTTATTCAAAAACTTTATAGAGAAAATGTAATTAAAATTACGGTATTGAAATTTGTTTTATAAATTACGTAACATTGTAGATATATTTCATAAGTCAGAAATATTATATATTTTTAATAAAAAGTGCATTAATCTAATGATTTAAAAAACATTTTTTATACTTCTATAAAATTAATATTAAATGTGCAATAAATTAATTCTTGTTTATTTAGTAAAAAAAACAACAGTTACATTGTTTATCTAAGAACATTTTACTTCATAAAATAATGTGGGACAATCAGAACTTTTAATGTGGGACAATCAGAACTCTAAAATTTTAAAAAGTGGGACAATCGGGAATAAACCTCTAAATCAATTCTGTAATGTCGTGGTTGTGGTTGGTCGCTTTTCATCATATTTTTGATCGTTTATTGTTTTGTACACAAATCAGGCCATTGGTTTTCTCGTTTGAACTGTTTAAAATTTTGTATTGTTGTTGTCTTTTATATTTACTTTACACTATGGGTTTTGATCATTGACGAAGGCCGTACGGTGACATAGAATTAATTGCATCTACGTCATTCGGACTCTGGTGGAAAGTTTACTCATTGGCAATCATACCACATCTTTTGATTATTATATTCACAGTATGGACAAAATATTTGATTATCTCATCTCGTCGAAACTTTTACGCACACCATCATGACTTGATTGACCATTATGGGATACATATCACAACGTAAGGATAATTTTCATTTTTGGTAGACACGATTACCATTTTTCTCGTTTATGAAAGCGCGAATTTTTACTTGTCATGCCCAAAATAACGGGCGCCTTTAGTTCAGCACGAGTGGCTCAAAATGTAGTTTTCTGAATGGTGATCTCTGTTTTGTTTGTCTTCTTTTCTGTTTGCCTAAGTTTAGTCTGTGTTTGGTCGACTAATGGTTATGATGGTCCCCTTGGTACATGTACCTTCTCCCTCTTTAATTTCAACACCTGAATAAAAATCGAATTCAGGAGTTCTTGGTTATGATTTTAATTCTTCGACATATTTAAAAAATGAATCCTTGACTATGTTTTAATTATGACTGCAATATTATTCGATGTATCCAATCTCATTCCTAGTGCCGTTTTATATACAAGATGTCTACGCATAGCTGTATAGTTTGATTAAGCAAACTTTAATTACGTATCCTTTATAAATATTTTAATCATTTTTGATTTTTTTTATATCAGTAGAGGTGAATGGAAACGGCTTGGAATCTTTAGGAAAGGAGTTTAAGATAAAGTTTTATGATGCAGACGGTAATTTCACTGACACTGGGTTTGTGGGATATTCAGACAACAATTCACGTAAGTTCAAAAGATAAATCAATAAAAAATAAATTTAATTGTGTTAAGCAATTTCGTTAATGTTAACTTAAACAATGTTGATACTCATCCTGCATTGTATCGTTAATAATACGTAAGTTGATCATTTAATGTTGCAATCTTCATCAAAACACTAATTTGTTACAAAAGTGCACGTACATTGAATCATAAATCTCTAAATTTCATACTTATGGATGATTTTGTACACACTGGCAAATTATAATGTTATGTGTCGAGCAGCTTGTTTAAGCTATCTAAATCACAGAAAGAACATTACTACTTGTTCTTTGTACTGTTATGTAAGGCAAACACGTGCCACAGTATATGAAGTTTAACTATGCGCTAAATACCATTATTCACTTTTTAAATATATTTCATTTTGGAACATAATATATTTGACCCTGAATTGGCTGCGTTCAATCGTGAATAAAAATGCACAATGTAGATACACTGGATAAGCGTTGGTTCTTAAAAAAGATTCCACGAAAACGGAGAGTGATTGCTATCTTTTTTAAACGTATGTACATGTATATTACGATAAAGCGATGTCTACTCCTTTACATGGTAAAATGACAAAATAAATCGACCAAAAACAGACATATATAGTTAAATTGTAGTTCGTGTTTTACAAGATTTAAAAACATGTTTCAATTTCACAGTAAAACTAAAGTATGTTAAATTTGAAAAATATAGATAAATGTGGCCCATTGATAGTCTAGCGGATAGGCATTTATACTCTCAGATCTGTGCTTAGTGTCTTTTTGTTGTTGGGATGTACAAGTACCCGTCCACGTCCACATTGGGTTTTTATTGGCTGTATTTCTATTTGTATCCATCTGATGAGTTAATCCTTTTTCAACTGATTTTTAAAGTTTGTTCTTATGTTGTACTGTTACACTACTGTCCCAGGCTAGGGGGAGGGTTAGCGTCTTCAAACTAGTTTAACCCCTGTCCCAAATCAGGAACATGTAATTCAGTGGTTGTCGGTTGTTGCTGTGTTTCATACTTGATTTTCGTTCATTATTATGTACATAAATGAGGCCGTTAGTTTTCACGTTTGAATTGGTTTACATTTGTCATTTCGGGGCCTTTTATAGCCGACTATGCGGTATGGGGTTTGCTCATTGTTGAAGGCCGTACGGTGACCTATAGTTGTTAATGTATGTGTCATTTGGTCTATTGTGGAGAGTTGTCTCATTTGCAATCATACCATATCTTCTTTTTATATTAAAAGGCAATTAGCAATAATAGTAGATGAAATATGAGATTGAAGTTTTTTTTATATTTCAAAGTAAAAACTAAAAGCTTTTTTATGAGAATGGTCTCATTGGCAATCATACCACATCTTCTTTATAATCATATTTGTATTTTATCAGAATACAGTTTTTGGTAGCACATTCCCTTCAGACATTATAACGGTTCTTCAATTATTGATGAAAGAGATTAAGTTCCGAACAAACGCTAAAATCTGATCGCCATCATCATCGTCAAGTTGCTTGAATTTCCCTTCAAAAGGTTTCATAGAACATACATTTTTGTGTACACTATTACTGCATGGATGATGAATTATGACGCATGAAATTTATAACGTGTTGTTTTCATTTTTTACCACAATTGTAAGATTGCGTTGTACCCTTATCAAGGTATTCAGAACCATATTGTTATTTTTGTTTATTTGAATGATAGAAACTTGTCTTTTCAAAAATATTTTTAAAACCATACATATATTTTAATAGCAGGATATATAAAAATCAATGCGAAACTAATGACATTTTTTTTTATTAATTTGGGACACACAATCTTATTCCAAAATAGCTAGTAGCACTTTCTGTTTTTAATATCTTGATTGTGATGCAATGAATTCATATATAGTTACTTAGTACACGGGAAAAGTATGCATGTAATTGTAAGCCAAGAATAATCTATCGATTGTCAACAGGTAATATTATTATGCACACTTTGTTCAATTTAAATATAACATTAAGTAATCTTTATCAAAGCATTAGAGTATGGCTTTAGTTGTTTGTCAATATCTTCAAGTCACTCATGTGGTGCTGTAAGGATTCCTGAAAAAAATCCAGAAAATGTTATCTGTAAGTCCCAAATAAAACAAATTTTCCTTACCAGATAGAAGCAGAAGAGCAAGTCTACGACCTGGAAAGGCAACTTCGACTGATAGCTGCGATCATGTGCGAGGAGTTCCAAGTGAATTGAGAAGCTCGTCCGTTATGAAGCCGCATGGAATAGCCATATTTTACCAAAAATATACAGAAGCATATGGCATACCAATTTTATGTGAGTTGTTTGCATCAGAAATCATTTGTTTGTTCCTAAATTTTAAAAAATATCAAATTCTTAAAAACACTGAACAATATGCGAATTTAAATGATAAATGAATTATACCATAGTCTATTCTGGTCACATTAGTATAAACATGGTATTTGCGACAAACATAACTTCTCAAAAATATTAAAGTACTGATATATAACAGCCATTATACGTCATTAGTTAACTTGGATGTGAGGAACAGTCAAACGCCTTGAGCAACTTTACTGATAAACATTTATTTATTGGAAATCTTATAGCAAAATATTTCACTTTTGGTAACCAATTGAATATTTAATGTTGATGACCAGAGGCCATTTTGACAGTTTTTGCTGCTTTTACTTTAACACAAGAAGACTGAAAATCTAGAATATTAGAATACAACCTATTTACAGTTAACAAAATAATTTTAGGTGGAGATAATACTCATGATTTGAATTTTGCTTTCAACAATCAAATACATTTTTATAGTAGTAATGTAATGTCGCAAATTTAGTTTACCTGGCGACGCGTAGCGGAGACAGGTAAACGGGTATTTGCGACAGTAAAACTACCGATGGACGTCCGCAAAGCTTCAAATACAATACAGTTATATCTATTCTAATGCAAAACAAGTACATAATTCAATTCCAATTATTATTTCAGTTTTAAATTTTCATTAAAGAAAATTCCGCGAAAAGATGTTATCCTATTTGGCTCCTAAACTAGGTGATGTCATAGGTATGCCTCCGTGGTCAAACGTAAACACCGGGCGTTTTCTGGCTTCTTGGCTTCTTCCAGAATGTAATAAAATTTGATAAAAAGAAGATTTTTAGGTGCGATATCTGTGTTTTTTTGTTATTATTGTAGAAATTACATGTCAATACATTCCGCAATTCAAAATGTCGGCTTCCTTAGTTACAGACAAGAAGATAGAGAATTTTACGCTTACTGTCATCCAATCAGAACCATTGATAAAAAATAATTGCATTAGAATTGTTATTTGATGTTGAGGGATTATAGACGGGTGGGGATCTTAACGTATATTGCAATATTTTTAAGAGTACCGTACGTGACCTATTTGAATTCGCGGTTTTGGAAATCGAAACTTGGTAATTTCATCGTTTGTAACACAAAATGAAAATAACGTCACGTCATTGATTGATTCAATTGTTTATGACGTTTTTAACCAATGACAATATTTTGATTTGCTTTATGAAAAATATAAGCCAGAATGCATTAGATGAGATTCTGCCAAACTGAATATTCTATAAATTTCCCCCTATTTGGCAGTTATAAAATATCGCCCGCTATTTATCGTCCCAAGGAATACACAAACCATGACATTTGCCACAAAACGTTCTGAAACCAACATTTAGTCATTTTATGTTCTTATTTATTCCTTTACCGAACATAAAGAATGTAATCCTTTAACCACAACACTTAGGCTAGTACAAAATAGAAAGAACTAGTCAATAGATCACAACTAATTAAAAGCCGTCAACAAGCACCACATCTGATGAGCCTTCTTACACGAGCAAAATTTAGTACGCAGAAGGTGGCAAAAGTGAAAAATATGCAGTAATTCAAAATATGGGACGTGTGATGTGATAGAAGTGGGACAAAGTAAAACTTAGTGTTGTCAAATCGAACAGTTTTGATTAACCGGTTACTCGGACTATCTTTCGACCAATTAACCGGTTAACCGATACTAAAGTAGATGTTTAAAGCCATTATCTACAGTACTCTACAAATGCACGGTTTTTAATACGATGAATAGAAGTTTATCCTTGGTCATTATAAAGATTGGTTTTGAGCATTTCTGGTGAAAATTTTACTTTTGATAATCCAATACTACTATATCTACTATGGCGTTTGCAATAACTTAATTCAGATTGAGAAAATGAAAATCTTCTTGATCTCGGCGAATTGACAAAGTGTGAAAGTGGTGTCTCACAGAAAATTTTGTGGAGTGTTATTATTTGAGAAGATTAAGCATGTTACTCGTACTCGTTTTTATTTTGAGTCGGCTTTTCGTTTAGAGTATGACAATGCCTTGAACGATAAAGATGGCATATTTGAAAATAGGTCTACACAATGTTAAATCAAAGTGAAATTATGAACTTCAAGTTAATCTTCAAATTTATCAGATTATAACTGTTCAAAATGCATGTTTGCTAATTATGCTTACTTAAGGTCTATCCCCGAGCTGATAGACAAGTTTTCTTTGTGCTAATTATTTTGTAAAATTTGAATGTTATCAAGGTTAACAATAGTAATTAATATACCCGACAATTGATCAATCAAGTTAAGTAGCACGACAACCATTTTAGAATTCAACGAAATGCATTATTGATTTTTAATACACATTCACATCAAATCTATTAAAATTGAAGAAAAGGTCCGGTTAACCGATTAGCGTTTTTGGTATTCGGTATTCGTTCCTTCCGACGGTTAACCGGTTAATCGTTGACAACACTAGTAAAAGTGTTTAATCAGAGATTTAGCTGGCTATTAAACCAGGTGTAATCCAATATTTTCTACATAAGGAAATGCCTGTACCAAGTCAGGATTATGACAGTTGTTTTCCATTCGTTTGATGTGTTTGAGCTTCTTATTTAGCCATTTGATAAGGGACTTTCCGTTTTGAATTTTCAGTGGAGTTCAGTATTCTTGCTATTTTACTTTTTTCCACTTGTATTAAAAACTACATAGGGCAAACCAATAGAGTCAGAGTCCACAAACAACAGATAAAGGACCAGTCAATTAGGAATTTTCCATGCTCATTATCTGAACATTTTGATAAATGTGAAAAGGAAAAATTTAAAATATTTTATTTTTTTAAGATGTAAACTGAATATAAAATTCCGCGTGAAACGATGGAACACTACTTAATCAACTGTACAATCCATCCTTGAAAAAGGAAGTGAAATTCGGTCCGTAAATATTATTCCGCAAGACGTAACTATTAAGTATTAAATGGCCATGTCAGAACCGCTTTACTACAGTTCATCAACATAATTGTCGACCTTGCCACTATTATATTAAATGATACCAGGGCCATGTCATACTTTAGCTATGCGATTATACACAAGATAACTCAACCAAGTTATACTATAAACCCCGAACATGTCACTATGGTTTGTACAAAATAGAAGGACCATGTTAAACTTCCAACACCAGCACATGTAACTACATCATACAATAGATGCTAGGGACATATTTAAATACTATTAACATTATGACAATTTTATATACATGCTAACCAAAATTGCAAACTAAGCTTTTAATTTAACAGCAAACGCAGGTGTGTGAAAAGGTTCTTAACCAAAAATGGAATTTAGATTGGTACAATGTACATAAACACCCCGTGTATTCTTTGAACTCAAGAACAGCGGCTAAAAAATGTCTGAACATATTTAGAAACACAGCACTGAATACATATAGAATGAATTGATCTAGCAAGAATTTGAAATTTAAATTTCATACTTTCAGATTTGACTATTTTAACACAATTTTGATGATCTGTACACTACTTTAGACCATTACCTTTCTATTGAATTTTGTATGATCTTTTATTCAAGCAATCTCAATAGCCCTCAGTTCTCTCCATGTAGAACTTCGTATTTTTTTAAATTATTCCACATTTTGTGGAAAATTTTGAAATCAACCCCTACATTAAGACACCCCTGCACTTTCACTAGCGTCTAAACAAATTACTACTGAAGAGTAACTATAAGTTGTAAAATGTCTGCTGTTAAGAGTCGTCACATTGTCTAACCAAAATTCAAGCTCAATTTTAATTCAACTATTTTCAATAAATAATCCGAAGTAGCTCTAAATTCTAAACCTTGGAGTTCGGTATTTTTGTTATTTTACTTTTTTCAATAATCATATAACAATAAAAGGTCATAAATCTGGTTATATTACCTATTACAGCGACATAATTATGATCCTTTCCGTAACCTGAGCTTAATTCGTAGCTGTAATCTGCAAAAAATGCGACAAAATAGAATTCAGTGAATCTATGAGATCACTTATTCCTCTTTCAGGAATAAGCAAACCAAACCATTTTGAATCCCACAAAATACCAAGTCATTCAAGTTTTATTAATAATAAAAAAAAAACATGGCAGATGCTAAAGATTTTCGAATAAACTCCGAGTTTTTTTTTTGTACAAGAGTCATAACCCAGACTCATACCTAAGCCGTCATCTAAATACAAAACTATATTGATTGCATTTAATCTCCAATAATTCACCATCACTTTCAAAAAATTAGTAAGAATAAAGGGGCGAAAATTTTTGTTAAAGTCCAAATGGTAATACAGTAAAACAATAGTATACTCCTCTTCAAGAAAACCCTAGGTTTGTTGCTGAGAACAAATGTCAAAATGACGTTACCCGGACTTTAATCAAATCTAAATAGGTGGCAATTTCTGATAAATAATTAAATTAAAACATTCCAATCGTGATATTTAAATCTGTCTCTTCGAACATGTTAGTTCAAAGCTGAAAGATCTAAAAAAAGTACCTTTTTCCCTGATTTTTTATATTGTAACACTAAGAGAATTAACAATATAAGGTTTGAAAGGGATCTAAATAACACAACCATTGGTTACTAATTCAGAAACAGCTTTGTCTACAAAACATGATCAATGAAGGCTGATTTATTATTAAGGAAAAACATTTTTCAGGAGCTTCTATATAAGGAATTAGACATCTTTCCAGTAATGAATGTGTTTTTAAAGATTGCCTTTTACACAATTCAAAATATTTCTAAATTACAACTTTTAAACAAGCTAGTTTGTTCTAAAAAGATCTCGAGATCCGTCAAACTAATATCACCCCATATATTATAATAAGATTCAATTAAGAACTTATCGTTAAATGTATTTGCAGAAGTGGTTGATTCCTTGCTTCTTCTAGTTGTCTAGATAGGTTGTGTTCTGGTTACTTCTAATGTTGAGAGGACAGTTTTTTTCCAGTGACCAATTTTCTTGAACAGAAAGCATGAATATCATGGGCGCAGTGTAAAGTCATCATTGTAGGGCTTTTGAAGAGTAGAACGGGGACTATGAGTGCTGTTGGATTTAGAGCGGTTTCAGATCTGGCATTCGTAGATGCTCTGGCATACGGAGTTGGGCGGTTACTGTTCTCTTTGATAAACTTGATTGCTCTATTCTCTGCTTGCTCAATTATCTTTTCATCGTCAGAATTTTTTACAATTCCGTTTTGCTCTTTTTGCTCTTACTGTTGCCTAACCCGCTGTAGAGGTACCAGCGATGCGAATAAGTTAATTGCGTGCTTTAAGTTGGTTAATAAGATCATATATCAACGAAATACCAGTTGCACTAGAATGTTTCTGTAAATTAGATAGCCCAGAGGGGATTTCCTCATTGAACCGATACTAAATTTTATTCCCTTTGCTTATAAATGTCAAATTGATGTCCTCATTAACTTTATAAAACAAATGTTCTTGCTCAGACATAATTTTCGATAACAAATCTAACAACTTATCATCAAAATTTGTTTTGAATAAATCAAAAGTTTCAACTAAATCTTGCCTAGATTTACTAGAATCTTGATTGACCGCGGCGACAGAAGGCTCACCTTGTCTACTACTAGATTCGTGATCAGACAAATCTTCATTCTATTCAGACATAACGTAATGGGATGAGCTTCGAATGATTATAAAATGTAGTTTGTTAAACACACGTTGCAAATTTACACTCAGAATTAAGCATTAAGAATTAAGTAATAGGTGTAATACCACCATTGATTTTCCCCTATTAGTCTTTGTTAAATTTGCACTTTTCAAAAAATTGTGCAGAATTTATCTTTGTTTCGAATAAAAAAATACTTGGCATGAGTAAAGTTTTATCTTGTCCAGTACTAGAGACAAAATTTCACATAACATTTCATTGCATATAAGAAAATAACCATCACTGGAAGTTACCCAATCAAATGTTCACCCCTTTTTTTACTGTGTACAAGCTTTAGTAACCATGTAACCTCAAGTTTCCAAAATATTCTATAGAAACACCAAATAAAAAAATAATGGTGCTTTGAAAACACCCAAGACACATGTTTATGACTCAGAAATTTTTTACTGCAATGAAATGTAGGATTAATTTCCTACAACTGTCAAATTCAAGGGAATATTTTTTTAGACACTTTTTCGTATGCAACCGGATTTGACGTACTATGATTTGGTGGTATTACACCTAAAGAAGACTTTTTTGTAGAATGAACTGAATGTGATTGTTTTCCTTTGTAATACTGGTTATTTCAAACATTACTGTCAAGTTTTGTCATAATCAGTTCAATAGTTTGAGAAAAATCTAGTATAATGTAAGACGACATCTATTGCGATTTGAGCAAAATTTCTTCGAAAAATCCAAATCAAGCTGCATCATGATAGAATATAGTGTTGACCAATAAATGATCAAATATTTATCTCATCTGCATACAAACAGTTGAATATGATACAAAAAATGACTCTAGGATGATAAATACCACTAATGGACCTCTTTGTCTTCATTATAAGGTCCCTTTTGGTCCATTTATACCCCTCATTTCCTTAAAATTTCAACATTTAAGGCCAATAAATAAAAATTTTGGGATAACTTTCACTCATTTATAAAAGAAATGTGATTATAAATGAGTAATTGAAGTATTCAAGCTGAATGAACTATCCATATAAAAGTTTACTGACTCAATGGAGGTTTCAATAAGTCTTTACATAAAACTTAAATTTACGCCGCGTTCCAGAGAGGGACATAAAAAGCTTCCCTTTTAGTGAATAATTTGTTGTTACTGCTTGAAAAATAATTTCATTTATAGATAACTATATATTTATTGAAGTATTACTTAGGAAAAAGTTTTCTATTATAACAAAATATAAGAAATAAGGAGAAAAAGCTCCCAAAAACACTGAGTATGGCTTGCTCTATCTACTTATATTCATGATAAAGTCCTATTTCAAGGCAATTTTCTCATGAAATGTGTTTTTGAGACTCAATCTACTCAGAATATTTCATTTTTGTAATATTTCACTTAAATAGCATGAAATTTTAACAAATGAGAGTACACACAAGGTCAAAGGTACATGTGCAGCTTCCCATATTAGGTGTAATACCACCATTGATTTTCCCCTATTTGTCTTTGTTAAATTTGCACTTTTTAAAAATTGTGCAGAATTTATCTTTGTTTCAAATAAAGAAATACTTTGCATGAGTAAAGTTTTATCCCTTTTTTTCCTGTGTACAAGCTTTAGTAACCATGTAACCTCAAGTTTCCAAAATATTCTATAGAAACACCAAATAAAAAAAATATTGGTGCTTTGAAACACCCAAGACATATGTTTATGACTCAGAAATTTTTTACTGCAATGAAATGTAGGATTAATTTCCTACAACTGTCAAATTCAAGGGAATATTTTTTTAGACCCTTTTTCGTATGCAACCGGATGTGACGTACTTTGATTTGGTGGTATTACACCTAAAAGGTTCAATTCTGAACAATGATAAATGTTTATTAAGATAAATAAACAAATAAGGTAACAAAGGCAGGTTTATTAGATAACAGGAATAAATACATTTAATAAATAGATAAATATCCTGAATGTCATTCTACAATGAATTTATAACTCTCTGCTACACCTTTTTTGTCGGCGTCTTTGTTAGATTGATTTGTACGTATGTTTGATTTTTTTAGTCAGTTGTGTTGTATGTCTGTGATGTATGTTTACACAGTTTTGGCTGCTGGATCCCAATTATTGTCACATTAACCTATTATGTCTGTTTGGGTTGCTTACCTAATTTTGTCAATACAACGAATCTTTAAACAACTGTGATACAAGTGAGAGGTTAAGCTAGCTATAAAACCTGGTCTAACCCATAATTTTCTTCGGAAAATGTCTGTGCTAAGTCAGGAATATGGTAGTTGCTTTTCACTTAAGCTTGTGCCGTTTGTTGTGTGTTTGATTTTGTCAGTTTTTATGGAATTCCCCTTTATAAATTTGCCTTGTAATTCGGTAATTTTGCTATACCTTTCACTTGCTTTAATCTGAATATCTTATTGTGACGAAAGAAGGCGATCATGTCTGATGCTGTTGCGTAGAGAGAACATATTTTTTGTAGATCATTGGAAAAGAAGGATTTAGTTTGTCTGCATATCGTCTAAAAAGCATTTAGAGAAACAGAGTCATACGATATTTCACCACTTTTTAAATTTCAAATATATAAAACGCTTGGCGAGCCTCGTGATTTAAATATGAAAATTAACTGTTTCGAGTGGAGAAATATCGTATCACACTCGATACAGTGGTATAATCTATATGTCTAGGAAACGTGATATATTTATCTGATGAAATATCGATTTTAAACTAGTGCATAGCAATTGCAAGTTTGTTTATCAGTGTTTTATTCTTCTTGTTGTTTGTTTTGATATTTTGTCCAAGATGTTGATATATGGGGACCATTTCAAATGAATTTTGCAATTTACTGTGTTAGGTTGTATGTGGAAGGTTCAGGGTATGCATAAAATGTAAAAACTCTTTAAACTTTATTTGATCCTTCCTGCCAATGAGGTTGGTGCGGTTATAGTGTTATTATATCGTGTTTCGTTAATGTCGTCGACTTAGATGAGTCCTTAAGTTTAATTTTTTTCACATTTTGTTCATTTTGAGACTTTAAAAATAAGCCTATGCAATGGAACTTTCAGAACAGAATTCTCCCTTTACTTGGCGCTTTGGTATTTGATGATTTCTTGATTCAGTTTCATTGTCAATAAAACGACATTGTTATGTTGTTTTATTAGAATGTTGAATGTTATCGTAAGCTAAGGTAGCTTATTCCTCAAGTTAAACTGATCTCCGATTTTTTCGGTGTCTTTTTTATTTGTATTCTGCAAACAGGCGTTTTTTTTCTCGATAAAGGAGAGCACATAAAAAAAAACCACATGAATCAATGTTTAATGTGACAGTCTGAGATTATTTTGACGTCTAGCAGTCATGTGAGCTGTAAACAGCAATGGTCTTACCAATAGATAGTGTGTACAATTCAAAGTAAAAAATAAATATATTGTAGCATCCTGGAATGTAAATGATGATGCCTTGAAGAGAGCATGTTATATAACACGGTTTCTTTTTGCTGATAATTACGCTGTGCGGAACTCCTTTTACCAGAGATCTGGACGTTCAGCTGTAATAGGAGTACATGAAGGTACAACCAGTATACCAGAACACAGTCACATGGATCCCTCTTTCTGGGATAAAAGAGCACGCGGACTTGGGGCTACTGATTCTGCACCAGTTTCTACAGGTGGTGAAGAAAATTTGTTGTGTATGAAAAATGATCGTTATCATAGTGAAGATATATATTTACACGAATTTTCTCATGGAGTGGCAAATCTTGGTGCTAGATATGGTATAAGTGGTTGGTTTAAAAGATTAGAAAGTCAGTATAATAGAGCAAAGCAACAGGGTCTTTGGGCGAATACATATTCTATGAGTAGTAGTGCTGAATATTTCGTAAGTATTATTTTAGTTTAGCCTAGTTATTCAACCTTTTTCTAGGACCGGTACGATTAAGAGTTTGTCCATTGTTGAAGATCGAATATTGATCACTAGTTATCCTTCTTTTTGTTTTCTATGTTGTTACATTGCTGTCTCATTGACGTATTTCCCTCAGAGGTTTTCATTAAGAAATATTCTCTACCAATCCAATACTGTTTCCATCAACAGAATTTTCTTTCGTTTACTAGTATTCAGATTTCAGAGAGAAAAAGCCAACTTGATTCAGAGTACATTATATCGCACAAGGGTTAAATTAAGCCATGTTTGAATTTTATGTTTCCTTCAAGATTCAAAATACACCGATACGCATCAATGTTACACTTGATACGAATCAATGTTACACTTAATACGAATCAATGCTACATTATTACCAATTAATCTATTTGAACAAATAAGGGTAAATCAATCGACCTTGTTCTTTATCATAAGAATAAATCATTTACCAGGCACTAAAATGTAATTTCAAGGACGACCTGCTTCGTTAAGCTTTTTAGTAATCAGTTAGAGGATATTTATATGACTATGCTAGCACGATCTTTTTCACGGACGAATAAAGATAATAAAAAAGTAAAAAATGCTTTACTTTGTTACCAATAAAAATATAGAAGTTTCATAATATACGACATTCTAATTCGAGTATTTTTTTTTACTTTATACACGTGTTAGTGTTTTTAAACAGGCTGAAGGTGTGCAAAGCTACTTCAATGTAAATGGCTACAGTGCAACACCAAATGGAATTCATGGTCCAATAAGCACAAAAGAAAAGCTAAGCACATATGATCCCGCTCTATATCAGCTGATTGAAGAAGTCTGGCCCTGTCATAATACTTACCTCAAAAGATGTGTTGTTAGCAGAGGTAATTCATGATATCTGCTTAAAAGAAGAGTTTTAAATATGTTTATCCAAGGAGGGATGCACTTATTCAATGCATTTGCATAGCATTTACATATATAATATAATCTGTCCTATGAATAAATAATAGTTTGCTAAGAAATGCAATAGAACATCAAAGGCATCACTTTGAAGCTAGAAAATACATTTAGATTTAAATTACGAGTCTTAATAAGTACAAGATGTTTAAATTAAGCTATCGATAGTGTAGTAACAAATTTGTCAATCTTGAAAACAGTCAGTGTATATTGTAACTATAATTGCTGTATAGTCAGTTTATCAACAACGTATACGAACCGAATTTTACTCCCATAGTCTTGTGACCATTGAAAGAATATATTCATTAGAGGTTTTAGATAAAATAAGTGCTTTTGGTGGTCCTTTTAATTCTGCTGACAGTTATGATTTTTCTACTCTGTACACTACACTTCCACACAATCTTATCAAGATAAAGTTTTTTTCATATTTAATTAAATGGTCTTTTGAAAAATCTCATTGCAAATTTATTAACATTCATAACTGCATGTGTCACGACAATGCATGTAAAACAAACGAACAGATTGATACAACTCGTAATTTCCGCGTTGTTGAATATAAATGTAGTTATAAGAATTGAATGCTTGTTTTTGAAATTTAATATGGCTGTAAAAGCGTTGATCGTGCGAACATTTTTAGTATGAAAGCAAAAACAAAATGTGATTCGGTCAACGCTTTTTCTCCCCAATAAAATTATTAAAAAAAGGCATTTTATTCTTAAAAGTATTTACTTCACTAATGCAAATCAGTATATGCAGTTATTACTAATAAAAGCATTCACTGGATAACTTTTTTAAACCTAAATAATTTACATTCAAATTTCAGCACAAGAACAACAGCAGAATATACGTACAAACTGTGACGGTTCCAATGGCGGTGGCGACGGGGGAGGAAGTATGTTCGAATTCATTGATTTTCAATCACATATAATGTACATGTATCACCGTGTAGGAGCGACACCGGGAAGTGGTACTAGCTGAAGCGGATAGAGGTCGAAAGTGCAAGCTGTTGTTGCCATACACTATCGAAACTTGGAGATTTACATAGTTTAAGACAATTTATGAAAGCTATGGTCTTGTGTATTTATAGTGGGTCATAATTAAATAATAGGAAGAAATATCAAATCTTTAGATGCATATTAAACTGCTGCTTTTCTTTATCTGAAGTAATCGGTGTAAAATTTTACAACATCTCTCCGTTTCAGCTACATGTATTACCAATATCCGGTTTCGCTCCAATACGGTGTGTATACATAATAGATTAGTACAGCAATGAAAATGTTGACATCTCTGCTGTATCCGTCTTATTTAGTAAAATTAGTATAGCATGGTAAAGGTACAAGGAGGCATGTATAGGCGAATTATTTCCAATTCTACAATTGAAAAAAGGATAAAAACACATGTACACTATGGCCTGAACATCTTTAAAGGCAAAATGTTTAAAGGAATCTACTTACAAACAATTGAGATTTCATTACTTCTTGTTATGATTTTAATGCGAATTTCACAGGCATGAGTAAAAGTATTTTGACGCACTATATCTTTTATGTATATATATTATATACCAGACGTTTTTGTTACAAGTTACTTTACGCGCGTCTGGCGTACCTTATTATCAACCAGGTACTTTTTATGAGTTTGTTTACCACAAAAATACAAGTTTTCTTGTACTATGCGTTAAATAACCTTTTATTTCTAGGTTGTAAAGACATTCATCCAAACTGTCATAGTTGGGCAACTACTGGAGAATGTTCAAGGAACCCAGCATATATGCTTGTAAACTGCAAACACAGTTGTAATACATGCAGCGGACAAGGTGTCGTATTCGTCAACATATTTTTTTTTAAATGTTCATGAAATGATAAATGGTATTACTTATGTATTATAGGAGTGAAAAATATGTCACAACCGTTTTTAATGTATTATGATCCGTGTGGATTTTTAAAGAGATGATCAAACTCTAATTTAATACAGAAAAAAGCGTATTAAATGTTAAATCAAGACTACAGAGTGAAGTCAGGTGATTAGGAAGGGTAAGCTGAGACAACTATCCATCAGAGTCCAAATGACATGTATGGATACAACTATAGGTCAATGTGCAATTTGTCAACGACCGAAGGAGTTTTAAACTGTAGCTTCACATGTAGGAAAAATTGAAGATATATACTTGGTAATATGTTACACATACATTAACCAAACCTTCGCGGTTTCCGTACAATTAGCAAAGAGACGACTGCTACTTTACAATATCCTTGTAAGAGAAAAACCTCTATCGATATAAAAAAGGACGATGTGGCAGGATTGCCAATAAGACAACTTTCCACAAGAAACCAAATGTCATAGAAGTGAACAACTATCGGTCATATTACGGCCTTCAACAATAATCAAAACCCATACCGCATAGTATGCTATAAAAGGTCCCAAAATGACAAATGTAAACAATTCAAACGAGAAAACTAACGGCCTAATTTATGTACAAAACAATAAACGAAAAACAAATATGAAATACAGCAACAAACAACAACCACTGAATTACAGGCTCCTGACTTGGGACAGCCACATATAGAATGTGGATGGGTTAAACATGTTTGCTGGCGCAAAACCCTCCCTCTAACATGGGACAGTGGTACCATTTTGATATAAAACAGAAACTCTTGAGTTATCTTACCATATATTTTTTTCAAATCCAGGAAAAAATTTGATGGTGGGAAGATATGGATTATATTATATTTGATTCATTTTAATTTACTGTATATTTACTTATTTTGTTGTGCAATTTTTAAACTATGATAATTATGTGTAGCTTTGCGAAACATAACTGTTTTGATATGAATATAGTTGTGAACAAATAATATCGTTCCAGGAAGCTTGATAAAATTTTGCAGAAAGTTCGTTAATTCCTTAATTGATTTACCATTTTATAGACACGTCTATTTCCTAAAACGATTATAATAATATAAAAATAAGGAGATGTGGTATGATTGCCAATGAGACAACTATCAAACCAAGTTCAAATGAAGTGGATGAAAACATTTATAGGCAACCGTACGGACTTCAACAATTGAGAAAAACCCATACCTTATAGTCGGCTATAAAAGGCCCCGACATGAACTTTACTTTCAACGCATTGGCATAATTTTATAATCGACATTTAATCTAAGTATATGTAATAAAAGAATTGTTTAATATACTTTATGTATATTTGGTTATTTTAGAAAGTATAGTTCATGTCGGGGCCTTTTAGAGCCGACTATACGGTATGGTTTTTTTTTAAAAGAATCAAATAACATTCCATAGGCGGTTACAATAACCACATATCACATCTACGTAAACTAATCAAAGGGAAGTAAGATAAAAGATTGAATAGAGAAAAATCATTTTTATAAAAAAAAAATTACTGATAAAATGATTTAAAAATCCTTGCAATAGAGAAATCCAACAATTTGGAGTAAATGACACAACAGAGTAAATGAATAATTTGATAATGGCACGGTCGTTGCAAGCACAAACCTGGGACATAATATATTGACTTAAGTCCCAACACAAACAGAGGCAGAGAAAGCTATTTTCCTATTGCCTTAATTTTTTAACATGCATAAAAGTTACATATATATTAGGGTCCAAATTTTTACTAATAGTATTGTGGTATTCATAACGTAAATTTTAACAAAAATAATGGACATTACGAAGCTTTTTCTTTTCTAACTTTGCTTTTTGGCTTTAATTTCAGGTGGCACTTCATGTACAGACAGCGGTCAGTTTTGTCATGATTGGGCTGGAAGGGGAGAATGTTATAGGAACCCAGGTTATATGAATGTATCTTGCAAAAAGAGCTGCAACCGTTGTTAGGTGCAATATAATAAATTACAAATTTATAGCATAGTAACACTACGTTGATTTTTTCTAAGTTAACTAAGTTATTTAGATTCCAGCCGGACGCATCGTCTTGAGCATATATATTGAGAATGTTTGTATCAAGAAACTGGTTTGTCATAACAGTATGATTTTAATGTTCTCAAATGCATTTAGCTGACCTGATATTTGGTCGACAATGATTATAATAAAGGTTGTAATATTTTGAAAACGTGATTTGCCCATTTAAGGTGATATAACCTTAATTCTTTGTATTTTAAGAAAGTACTATAAAAGAAAAAAATGTGGATTATTCATTTGAATAGCTGCAAATTAAGTTCACCTTTCAAAAAGAATCCTCGTCAATTGCATTGAGATGTAAAAAAAATATTTTCCTTGCTTACAAACATAATCGTCATAGAGTACATGTACATATACAAGAGGGGTCTAAACACAGCACAAACAACATTTTCCAAAAGACCAAAAAAGTTAAAAGTATATTTTAACAAATCGCATTTCACTAACAGGTCGAACAACTGATGTTCTTAAACCCTGCTGACTGCCATTGACGATTGCCAAAAAAATTGATCACGAGATGTAACATGGATCTGAATTACTAATTTAATACCAAACAGAAAAACAATAACTTGCGAAGAAGATGGTATACCACAAACAAGAGGTGCAAAAATTAGTACACCATATCCGGATTTCGACAATTAATGTCTCTTCAGTGATGTTAGGGATCGAAACGGTATTTGGAAGGCCATATAATCTACCTATAATTGCGTTGGATAAAAACCGCAATTTTTATACGTATGCATGCAAAACAAATTTCTTTGTAGAGGGGTCTGAATACAGCACAAACAACATTTTCCAAAAGACCAAAATAGTGAAAAAAGTATGTTTAAACAACGCATTTGACTAACAGGTCGAACAACGGATGTCTTAAACCCTGCTGACTGCCATTGGCGATTGCCAAATAAATTGATCACCAGTACAAAATGGATCTTAATATTAATTTAATACCAAACAGACAACAATAAACTTGTGGAAAAGATGGTTTACCACAAACATGAGGTGCAAAAATTTGTATACACCATATCCGGATTTCGACAATTAATGTCTCTTCAGTGATGTTAGGGATCGAAACGGTATTTTGAAGGCCATATAATTTACCTCAATTTAGGATAGACTCTTGAATTTGAATGAGTCAATATAGGACGAACGGATCATATAAACCCGAAGAAAAATATAATACAAGCCCAAACAGAAAAATATAAACAAGTCTAAATTGAAACCAACGTTCAAAACCATGATTGCGTTGGATAAAAACCGCAATTTTTATACGTGTGCATGTAAAACAAATTTCTAGGTAGAGGGGTCTAAATACAGCACAAACAACATTTTCCAAAAGACCAAAATAGTGATATATATATATATACCAGTCTTAATTGAAAACAACGTTCAAACCTATGATTGCGTTGGATAAAAACCGCAATTTTTATACGTGTGCATACAAAACAAATTTCTTGGTAGAGGGGTCTAAATACAGCACAAACAACATTTTCCAAAAGACCAAGTTATCACCGGCTTTAGTCTGGGTTTGTGTTGCTCAGTCTTTCGTTTTCTATATAGTGTTTTGTGGACTTATTTGTTCTTTTATCCTCTTAGTTTTTTTATATGGCATTGTTAGTTTCTCCTCTACTTGAAAGTTTTTTCATGTCTGTTTGGTGTTTTCTGCGTATATTTTAGTTAAAAATTAATTACAAAAAACTGTATATTGGAAATGATCAACAAAATGTGTTAGCCGGTGAAATTCTCTGTACACAAAGTTTCTTTTAACTTGAAACACGCAAGAAAACACAATCTGGGTTAACCAATAATAATGTTACAAGACATATTTGTGTTCATCTAGCTGTCTCACAGCTGTCTTGTGTGGTGCTCTGACATTACGTGAAGTTGCCTTTTATACCCTTTTCTATCTCAAAAACGTTAAGACATAAAAAAAGGACTGTAGTCTATGCTTTGTAAACCGAGGCACATAATAAACCAATCGACATGGAAATGGGATTAGAAATAGAATATTCAAAAATGGTCAAGTGGTTTTACCGCACCTAGTAATGGGACATCAAAGAATAACAAAACTACACCAATACATGACGTAGGATAAAACCGTCAAATTTTGGAACAACATTATGTAATGTTAAAGCCATATAGATCAATGTTAAAATCACATTGAGTAACATTGAGCAACGTCCATATATCACAGAAAAGTGATAAAGTCGTATCAATTAATGTAATATCTAGCCATATTACGAACTGACGAATCATCATTAAGAAATTACAAAACCACAGCATGAAATGAAACAACTACATTACGTAAAGCCATTAGGTAATCTTAAAGTAATAACACAACTATATCATGTAATATCAAAATATCATTAAGGAATGACGATACCATATTGAGTAATGTCAAAACCGTATCGTGTAATGACAAAACATCATCAAGTTATGATAAAACCATATCACGTAATGTCAGAGCACCACATAAGACAGCTGTGGCGTTCCATACAAGAACATTCAATTGATTTGATGTTCTGTCAATAGCAACAAAAAATTAGAAAATCAACAAATTTTGTGGGAACTCGATTTGTATAACACGATTGTAAATTTGTGTAAAGCTTCAATAAAACGATTTCATACCTTGTCGGACATTTTTCGTAATCTTTTTTATTATTATATGATTACAAGCATAAAATACATTGATCATCTAAAAATATATAAGTTTGACAATTTGGGCATTTGAAGGAAAGAAAAAAGTCAATAAAAAAGTTTCCCTTTTCAGATTACCTTATCTATGTTTGGCAAAACCCTGCAGAGTTTAGGTCCTCAATGCTATTCAACTTCGTAAGTTTTGGGTCTTTAAACTGTTTTGATTCGGGAGTCACTAATTCGTCTTTTGTAGACGAAACGCAAGTCTGACGTACAAAATTATATGGCTGGTATCTTTAAGATTTTGATTTTTAAGAATTTTAATTTTGATATAATGACTTAATGCAGCTGGCTTAAAAAGAATAGAATAAAATTTTAAATCAGTAGTGCATGAAGGAGCAATTACTTTCTAAGTTAGCAAAACACTTGAAATACAAAAAAAAAACTGCATATAGTGAGAAAGGTTTTCAAAGGCTAATGAAAAACCTTCATTAAGATAAACAAATTACTTCGAACTACATACTATTAAGTGAAATATCCTTCACTTATTTTACATACTTATTTTATAATGAATTTCTTTATTGCACACGAACATAATAGTTATATACATTTCATGCAAACTATTTCAATTCTTATAAAGAATTATGTAGTACAAAGGTAAAATATTATAATATAATAACCACCAATTAATAAATTCAAGAACGTAACACTAAACACTACATAATAGTGTTTTTATAGCAGAATATGATAGCAAGACAAATGCTGTTATGATTGAATGTTCATATTGTTTATTTATACATAAAGGCAACAGTAGTATACCGCTGTTCGAAATTCATAAATCGATTGAGAAAAAAACAAATCCGGGTTACAAACCAAAACTGAGGGAAACACATCAAATATAAGAGGAGAACTACGACACAACAGAAACACAACATTAAAATGTAACACACAGAGAAACGAACTATAATATAATAATGGCCATTTTCCTGACTTGGTACAGGACATTTTAAGAAAAACGATGGGTTGAACCTGGTTTTGTTGCTTGCTAAACCTCCCGCTTTTATGGCAATGTTAAATATAACATTAAAATGACAACATTACATGACAGGACTACAATATAAATAAATGGGAGAACATATAGGACAGTGAAACATACGAATAATAGCAAACAAAAGGTACCAGTTTTAAAATTTAATACGCAAGACGCGCGTTTTGTCCACACAAGACTAACCAGTGACGCTCAGATCAAAAATATTCGAAGGCCAAAACAAGTACAAAGTTGAAGAGCATTGAGGACCAAAAGTTCCAAATAGTTGTGCCAAATACGGCTAAGGTTATATGTTTGGGATAAGAAAATCCTTTGTATTCCATACAACATATCATGTCTATTGTTAGCTGTTCATATTACAACATAGGAGCCAAGGGGTTCCAGCAGTTCTCTGACCTACTAAGTCTTTTATTCTTATAAAATATATTTGTCTATTAACAAGTCTTCTTTTTTTTTGACTATTATCATGATTATATTGTTTTTGTTAAAATGATTATTTGCTTTTATAAATATGGAATTTTGTAAACATAATTATTAAAAATTGAAAACAACATGTTATAAATTTAATGCGTCCGAATCGCTTTTCTCGATAAACCTGAATCAGGAACCCTCATTTGAAAGCCAAGGATGTATAAATCCGAAACAGTGTTAAGTTTCTTATGTCATTTGTATCGGTTTTTGTTAGAATATCACATAAAACAAAATCTGATTATAAATACTTACTTCAGCTGGAAAAACCCAATGGTCTTAATAAAGAAGGCACGTATTTCACTGATAAAGCAACAAAGGAATTTGCATCAAAGATAGCTGAAGTATGTTTAAATGAAGTTAAAAGAAGTGCCCAATGACGCAGACTACTACCGTGTATTTTGTAATGGCTTCACAGATCGAACAGAAACTGACAAAGAACTTATAATGATTAAAATTTTGAATGATATTACCCAGTAATGATTTTGCTAGTCAGGAAAAAACTCAAAAATGAAGAAGCTGGTTTAGCTGCCGTGGACAATGTTTTTGAAATTGTTTTTTGACTTTTCGGGGGAAAAATGGACCTGAAACTTGATTGGGTTTTGCACAAATAGGGCTAGTGTGAATATGGACCATGTAAGGTTGTGTCTGTTCTATCTTCTGAAAATACAATCACCTTTGATAATAAGTGTTTGGTGCCTAGCCCATAGACTCGAAGTAGACATGCAGTGTAAGATGTATTTAAATCGACTTTCATGGATACCATAGAAGATATCTTAACAACCGTTAATCACAAAAAATGTACGTCTAAAGAGTATTGGCCAAAGGAATCAGAGAAGCGCAAGAATTAGCTGACATTTTGGATGAACATTTTACAAACAAACAAAATAAACTAGCACTCGGTGGGTTGAGTAGAAGTTACTTGTTGTTAAAAAATGTAGCTGAACAGTTCAGAATTAGTTTTACAAATTTCTAATTGCTCAGAGGACAGTACTTACAAGGGA